TTTCTTTTTTATTGATTATAGTCATAATTAAAGTAGATATGTATTGATATTTTATGCATTTGAGCAGTAAATAATTGGTATTGATGATATTGCGATCAAGAGGCAAACCATGTAATTGTTGAGTAAATCTTGGTTCGATTTATTTCAAGAGTAAATTATGAATGATTGCCTCTCTAGCTTTTTCCATTATTACTTTCTTTGTCATATGAAACAGCTTACCCATTAAAACATAAATTTAATCTACTATATTATCTGGATTCTTGATGTAGGTTTCGAAATCTGGTTCTGTAAAAGTTGAAAAGCTTATGACGGTTGAGCGATACTCCCATGTGATGCATATCAGCTCTACTGTGAGAATTTACTAGTAGTTCAGCTTTAAAGATCCGTGGAAGCATAAAAATCTTTGAAGTTTTTTCATTCCATTTCATTTGCATGTTTTAAAGAACTACTTTCTATTCTCTTTAGGGAACTTAATTAGCTTTATATGCTCCTGAAAACTTTATTAAAGAAGAAATTGTACATAATTGACTAGAACTTTTACTCACAGATCACTGGGGAGTTGCTTGATAATCTAACTTGCTGGGATGCACTGCAAGCTGCATTGCCGGTTGGAACAGTTGCTGGAGCACCAAAGGTCATTATATTTTCTTCCTTTTATTTATTACTCTTTCCTCATTTGTTATCGTTTACTAGCCATTCAACAAAATACTCGATCGTCTAGATACTAATCTTGCTGTCTCAGGGAAAAAAGAAACTTTACACAAGTCATCTTTTAAGGTTATTTTTCTTCTTCTTCTACTACAGGTTAAGGCCATGGAGTTAATTGATCAATACGAAGTAACAAGACGAGGACCTTATAGTGGTGGCTTTGGAGGAATATCATTTCTAGGCGATATGGATATCGCGTTGGCTCTCAGGACAATGGTGTTCTCTACTAGAGCTCGTTATGACACTATGTATTCGTACAAGAATGCAAACATCCGTCAAGAATGGGTTGCTCATCTTCAAGCTGGAGCTGGAATTGTAGCTGATAGCAATCCCGACGACAAGCATATGGAGTGTCAAAGAAAAGCCGCCATTCTTGTTCGTGCCATTGAGCTGGCTGAGTCGGCATTTGTGAACAAAGGATTTGGGAAGCCAGCCATTGACGGACCTATGCACAAGCTGCCCTGGACCCTGGTCCAAAAAAGTTGGGCCAAGAGAAAATTTGTTTAGATGACCATTTAGCTCACCAAAAAGGGAAAAAAATGTGAATGGAATCAAAAATAGAGGAAAATGTATTTATCAAATTTGTCTCTTTTATGTAAAATATCTTTAAAAATTTGAGAAAAAGATGGCTGGAAATGAATATTGAAGGTTAGAATTAGGGTGCTTGAACAGGCAGAAACAAAATACAGGAAAATGTATTTATTCTGTAAATTTGAATTA